AGCCGCTGCCCTGGACTTTGTTCCCGGTGGCTCCTTCCGCCTCGGTGGATCATGGGGTTGTAGGTGTTGCGTGCTGCCCCGGCTCAGCCCCGCCGGCAGCACCGGGAGGGTGGGCAGCAGCGTGGGCACTGAGCACAGTCCTGGGCAGAAACGCTTCAGCCTGTGGGTAAAGCTGCAGCTAGAGTAAGGCAGAGTGGGCCTGAATGAGGCAAAGCTGCTGCTCGTGGGGGCCTCGGCTCTCAGCGAAGCTGGGCCTGTGCTGGGGCTCCCCAGCTGCAGGAGTGCATGGGAGGGGGCTGTCTGGTGCCTCTGTGCTCATGGGAGGGGCGAAGGATGCAAAAGGTGCAAAAGCTTCATCGAGTGCAGGGCTGAGCCATGCTAGAAGGGGTAAGAGATTGCATGTGCTCACTTGGTGCAGATGTCTGGGGTTCCTGGCACCCTCATTACCCTCTAGAGAGGCTGTGCGGAGGTGTGGTGTGCCTGGCCCCATGCAGGGGCTGTGCCTAGCATGACGTTTTCCCCAGCTTTGGCCAGTCCCACTCTCATGTTCTTGCTGCCTGCAGCATTGGACCCTACTGAGCGTGTCCCTGTTGAACTGCCTCCTGTCGACAGCGTGCAGTGTGGGCCTGGCACTGGCCATCGCCCTCACCGTTCACAGCAGGGGTACGCGCCTTGTCATGGGCTGCAGCAGCTCTGCACTGCCTGCTGACGCCCGTGCAGCCATAGCGACCAACGACTGTCCTTTCAACACCACGCGCATCTATGTGAGTCTGCACCCCCTCCCACTCTTCCTCTTTCTGTCTCTGCTTCCTCTCTTCTTTTTCTTCTCTCTCCCTCTCTCTTTTGCCCACTCTTTCTGCCTCTCTTCCTCTCGCTCTCCTTCCCGCTCCCTTTCTTTCTCTCTCTCCCCCCACCTTCTCTTCCCCACTGCCTGCACAGCCTCTGCTCAGCTGCATGCAGGTAGGCTGGGTGCAGTGGACCACGCTCCCTGAGGGACCTCCCGACCCTCTGCTCTGCAGGACACAGCCCTGGCACTCTGGTTCCCCTCTATGTTGCTGGCGGCTGCAGAAGCTGTGCTGTCTGGCAGGTGCTGTTTGGTGGCCTTGATCTTCCGGGGCATTGGGCCCTGTGCACACAGCTATGGCAAAGAGCAGGTATGACCCCGTTGATCCAGACAGGTCTCCTAGCCTCTGCACCACCATTGCTGCCTTTGTGCTGCATTTTGAAGGTGCTGAGTCCTGTTGGGCCTTTGTTCCCATACAAGCAGGCTGTGCAACAATGGGAGCGGGGAATGTCAAGTTTGACCTTCGTCTAGCCAGCCTTGGGGATAGACTGGCACCCCTTCATCTTGGGTAGTTGCAGAGGGACCCTCCTCTTCATGCCTCTGATAGCCAAGTCTGTGCTGGCTGGCTGTCATGAGTGACCATGCTGCCCCCTCCCCCCCATCCCTGTGGCCCTCCACTTTTTTTTTTTTTTTTCCCCCTCTCGCTCTAGCTGGCAGGGCCAAGTACAGTGAAGGAGGGGCCACCGCGTGAGATGCAGCAACTTCTGGCAGGGATGGCTGAGTCTTGTACCTAGCTGGAGAGGTGAGTGCAGTACATGTGTTATGCTTGGGGGAACGAGAAGCTCTGCTGTCAAGAGGGCCCCTGCCCACACCAGCCCCCCCGAAACATCTCTTTTCAAGCACATACTACAAATACTGGCCAGCGGTGTCAGAGCAATGCCTGGCCCTGCAGCACAGTCTGGTATTCATGCATGCTTTTTTCACTCCCAGGTGGTGCTGCAGGAGTGCTGTGATCCAGCAAGGTGAAGTTGCACCTGCACCATGCTCTTGCCCCAGGTGTAGACACTGGTAGGGTGGGCTGTGGGGGTGGTGCTGTGTGTGCCCTGCCCCCACTCCCCCCCCCACCCAGGACAAACCCTGCAGGTTCCAGACAGAAGCTGCCCACTGTCACCAGGCAGCCTTTGCCCAGCAGGTGCCATGGGCTCTGGATGCACTCCCCTTCTCTCCCCATGCTGCAAGGCCTGTCCTGGCACACTAGAAGCTTCATTGGTCTTAGATGCAGTGATGAGGGTGGGCAGAGGTGCTGGGGCCTGGCAACAGCCAGGGCTGGCCTGGGCCCTGGTGGCCCTGTTCCAGAGCAGGCAGGGTCAGCTTTCTGTGCCTGTGATCAGGCAGGCCAAGGAACGGAAAAATGAAGAATTCCTTTGTTGTGAGCCTCTGTTGTTTCCCTGAGTAAATAAAGTTTTCCTTTTCATACTGGCTGCTGTAAGTGGCTCCCCAGGGTGGATGCTTGCTGGGAACTGGGCCCACTGATGGAAGGACAGTGCAGCTGGTATGTAAACCGATCTCCATGCTTGCCCCCCACCCAAGCACAGGGATGTCGACAGAACATGGTCCTAGTGTGACAGTCACCCATCATGGTGGAGGTTGCATATTTAGCATAGCTAGGTTCAGGCTGAGAGACACATGTACAGGGTTACAGCCCTGTGCCCTGGGAACTACATGTGTTCCTGGACTCAGCATCCCTTGACAAACGGGAGCGCAGCAGGATTGAGAGACATGTTTATTGGAGGTGGAAGTGGAGGGTGATGAAGAACAGGACTGAAAACTGCCACAGTCCAGCTTACTGGAAAGAGAAGCTGGTGCTCGGGAGTCCCCCACACCACTGGCTGAGGAACTTGAGCACATCTTGGCACGCAGGGCTGTGGGATGTCTGCAGAATGAAAGAGCCAAGGGGGCAGTGCCACCACCCCCTGCCCGAGGG